TCAAAACTTTTTAAGACCACCACGGTGATGTCGGGTTCTCCCGTGGCCTGGTGGCTGCAACTTCCTAAGGACCGGCTTTTCCCCTGTTTCGCCTGAGGTCAAGGCAACTTTCCCTGCAGGTCCTGGAAGGAGGTGGAGTGAGTTTTCATCTCTGACATCACAGGCCTTCGGGATCCCAGTGCTGTGGCAGAAAGTCTCTGCTTAGCTAACCTTGACCAAGCCCTGTGCGCGCTGCTAACTGTGCCTCCCGTCCTGCAGAACCCGGAGTTCTTTCCTCTAACCCAAGCAAGCCCTCCCAAGGGAGCAAACACCCTCAGAGCAAGTAAGACCTCAGGGCTCCTTGAGTCTCTCCGGTTTTCCGCTTTCTCTTAGATTGGAACATATCAATCCCTACCTACCATTTAATTTGTTTTAACACAGCATTCTTGGCTACTTTCAGTGCAAAAGGTTTTCCAATATCTTAACTATAATGCCCCAAATGAAAACCCTATATTTGCATTTCAAGTTAAAATGAACTCTGGTGAGCGAGGGCAGGGTTTGCAAAAACTGAAGACAGCCTGACACAGCCTGCGTTGAAACAGTCTCAGTGTCGCTTGTGACCTCAGGTGACTCCTGCAGAGATGCTGAAGCTTAAATAACACACACTACCCCAGAAAGTTTACTTTAGAAAAAATTTAACACCCATCTGAGGGGGGAGTCTAGTTTTAAAAGCAGCATAGGTGGGGGGAGGGGGGCTTGTTCTCTTAAGCATCAAGGCTCTTTACACAACGGGAGTAAATGAGGTTGCAGCAAGGATACACAAGGCGACCTGAGGAATGGAAGAGCAGAAACACGCACACGTGTGTGGCAACTTGACGTGATACGTATCGTCGAAGGGAAAATAAACAACAGCGGAAGAAAGATTACCCACGTGGGAGAAAAAAACTAGATCTTACCACTTCACACAAAAATCACTTTCACACATATCAAGAACATAAATACGAACGGCAACATTTTGAAGCTTTTGGAAATATCAGACTAGAGGTTTATGGCCGAAGGGAAGGGAAAACTTGGTTAAACCAGATGCCGAAAGCCCTGGGCATAAGGAAAGGATGACACATTCATTCACATTAAACCACAGAGTATGTCCATCAAAGACCACGATAAAGAAAGTAAGAAGGCAAGCTACCATATTTTGCCGTGTTAATGCACATGTTTTGCCCCACTTTTTGAGGGAAAAAATCAGGGTGCACATCATACATGGGTAGTACCTGAAATACTCTGTATCTGTTCTTGTGTTTTGTACTCATTTGCTACATGAAATTTCTTGTACCATAATATGTTCAAAAACTAAATGCTAAAATTCCTTTATAATACAAAAAACCAAGTACCTAAATATAAATCAATTAAAAAATTGAATTAAAAAATGAAATTTTTTTTCCTGAAAGTTTGGGCCAAAAACGTGGGTGTGCATTATATACGGCAAAATATGGTATTACTAGGAAAAAGACACTTGCCGCATGTATAACTGACAAGGGACCAGTTCGCAGAATACGTATATTCTTTAAGACAGACTTCTAGAAATCAATTTTTAAAAGGTTTTTAAAAACAATAAAAACTAGGCAAAAGCCACCTATAGACATCCCAAGAGAAGAGGAACTATAAAAGGTTCAACATCATCAGTCATTAAGGGAATGTAAATTAACTCCCCATGGGGTGCCATTTCCTCACCCACCAGATTGTTGAGAAGAAAAAAATCAGTTAAACACAAATGTTACTGTGCCAATGTCTCCCTGTCGCTGAGACAGGGAACAGAGCAAACACCTACCACGCAGCTTGTGAGAGTGTAAACTGGTACAGCCACTCTGGAAAACGAGTCATGTCGTCCAGCAAAACCAAACACTCACAGCTCCCTCCCAAAGGGGAGGGGATGGCAGGGGGGGGGGGCGGGGGGCGGGGAACAGCGTGAGTCCCCTTATACATGGCCATTCTTCAATAAAGACTGCAAGTGTATTTTCTCTTCTTTCTGATTTTTGTGATAACATTTCTTCTCTAGCTTACTTTAGTATAAGAATACAGTACATAATTCATGTAACATACAAAACATGGGTTAACTGACGGTTTATGTTATCAGTAAGTAGGCAGCTCCTGTCAGTAGGCTATTAGCAGTGAAGTTCTGGGGCAGGCAAACTTATACTCGGGTTTCTGACTGCACTGGGGGTCAGTGCCCCAACTTCCACACTGCCCAAGGGCCCACTGCATATTACTATTTAAATGGTGTGCTTTCTTCTCTCTATTTTTATTTACTCTTTTTATAGCTTTATTGAGGTACAATTGATTTACGGTAAGTGGCACATATTTAACGTACAATTACATGAGTCAGACATAGGTATACACTGAGGAAGGCATCTTCACAGTCAAGAAAATGAACACAGCCATCGTCCCCCAAAGCTTCCTCATCACACCCCTTTCTAACCCAGCCTTCCTTACTGTCCCTTGCCCCCACTCGTGAGTAACCACTGACCTGTGTTCTGAACTTTAGGCCAATTGGTATTCTCTAGATATTGGTCAGGTACAGTTTGGACATGATTTATGCACCTATTTCACTCTAGCAGATCCTGCCAGAGAGTTCTGTAAAATGATCGCCCCAATTTACGCTGCTACCAGCAGAGTACGGGAGTCCCCCACTGCTCCACGAGCTCGCTCACGGGCCTTTCCCGTTTTAGCTCGTTTCATAGTCCTAAGGAAAATACATCCAAAACTGCTTGTCTGAACAACAACCAAAAAAAATGTAAACTTTCAATGGTGACTGAAGGGGAATTCATGACAAAGAAATTTTAATCTCAGGGCACCTTCCCTGGAATGCACAACAGTGATCGAAGCAAAGGCCCTAACATGTGCAAGCCGCAAGGATTCTGACTGAGTCAACACGTACGATTTCTGCGGAAGAGTTCTAGAAGAACTGCTGAGACACACATGAAAGAATCGCAGGACTGAAAGTGAGCTGGGAGCCAGTGCCCTGGACCCGATGAAATGCAGTCGGACAGCTACAACGCTACTTTAACACTGGTAACAACCCCCGAACCCAACAGACCAAAATGCCACTAAAATACTGTCGTCCTTTGGCTGGGGGGGAGAGGTTGGAACACCCTTAAAGTACTGTAGCTCCATCAGTACGCTCTGACACTTTTTCTGGCTGCTGCTAAACCGCGAGGGAAGAACCAGGCTGTGAGATGCATTTTGACGGAAAGGTATTTTCCCTATCTTCCTTCCCATCTGACTTTAAAGTCCCCTCTACCACCCTGTCAGTTCTTTGAAAAAAAAAATAAATAAGGGCTCAACCCTCGCTATCTTTATTTCTTCATCCTCTATTTACTCCTCAAAGTCACTCAAATTTGGCTTCCAGCCGTATCATTTTACTTAAATTATGTTTGCTGAAATCAATGACCCCTCCTTCCTAGCAAAGCCAATAGGCACTTTATCAGCTCCCACGTCCCTGATTCTTCAGACTCGTCCGACTCGGAGATTTCTCTCCTCCAACCCGTTGCCTCTCTTGGCTTCCACGACACCCGGCCTGCTCCTTCGCCTCCTTTCTTCCCTGACCCGGCCCACCTGTCCCCTTCCGTGGTCTTCCTCTCTTCTTACTCCGCTTGAATGATTTCTGCCACTCTCACAGAATCAACTTCCATGATCCAGATGCCCCCGACACCTACAGCCCTGATCCCGACTTCAGAAAACCCTGGCACCAATCAACTGTATCAATAACCTGCCCGCTGGACAGCCCTGCCACATGTCTCGTGAGAACCTCCAACTCACTTTGTCTCTACCAGATTAGTCTATCAATGTGCTAGTTTTATTCATATGTTAAGTTTATGAATTGAATTATGATAATTCAAGAAGAGCCAATAAAATACAAGAGATCCTTAAAATCCTTTTCTTAAAAGGTAAAAAAAAAAAGCGCAAATTTTTATGAAGTCTTTTCCTCCAGTTACGAAGGTGAACTCAGTCATTAGCAAAAATGACCGAATATAAAAGATGATACAAAAGCAACCCTGGAATCCCAGCTCTAGAAAGCAAGCAATGTCAACATTTCCTTCTGAAAAACCAATTTTTAACCTTGATAAAGGTACATATCAAAATACTAAATTGGTAAATGGGAGGGGGGTGTTATTAACTCTCAATATTTCCAGGCTTTTTTTTTTTTTAAACAGAACTCTATTAACTGCCTACCTGGAGTTAGAATCAGTATACTATTTTAAAAAACAGAAGCAGTCCTTTCACATGGTGTATTTTAAACATTCTACAGGAATCAGTGTTTGTGGCTTGGCATCTCTCTCGCCTATACCTGGACGTCGGTGTGCAATGGTGTATTCCTTTGCTTAAAGGAATACACCACTGCACACACGCACGCACACACACACACGCACACACACACCACTGGGAGTAACAGACGCGAAATCTAAAATCTAGCTGGGTAGATCATTTGTGTTTTGCAAAAACCATATGAAAGTGACGTTTTAACACCTCTTCGTCTGCCGCTTCAAAAAGTTCAGAAACACTGGGCTCATCAGTTCTCATCTGACTCTCCGGAGAAGGAACTGCGTTTCCCATTCCCCTTTCCCGGGCCAGGAGCCCACCTTGGGGGGGGGGGCTCCCCTCCTTCCGGTCCAGGGATCCCCCTGAGTGGACCGGTGAACCCCACAACCCGTCCTGCTCCACAGGACGAGTCACTGCCTGCCTTCCAGGCCGCGGTGATCGCGGCTGTCCAACAACCGTAAGTCTCCCTCGGGCCTCCGGAGAGCAGACTGGGACACAGTCACCGGGCCCGCAATGACAGGTTTTTTAAAAAAGTTTAAGGAGACGAAAAAACCTGCACAACAGTCGCAGGACCCTCAGCCCCGCGAGGCCGCTCTCACACCCGACCCCCCCACCCCCGCCCCGCGCAGGACCCCGGAGGCCAGGTCGGGGGTCACAGGAGGCCCGCCACGCATGTGCCCGGAGAAGCGCCCCTGACGGCGCACCTGGGCCCTCCGGCTCCCTCCCACGCCCGGGCGCCGAGGTCTCCACGCGCGGCTCTCGGGGCGCCCTCGATCCACACCTCGCGGAGGCTGCGCCGGGCGGCCCCGGCAGGTTACCTGCTCCAGGCAGTGGACGTTCTGCTGTCGCCGCCCCCGTGAACCGAGTCTCAGGTCACTTCGCCAGGCAGCGTCCCGAGGCCCCGCCCCCGCTTCCCCAAGTTCCCCGCCCGCAGGTCGGGCTGTGCACGCGGAGGGGCGGGGTGCAACGGGGCAGGGCGGGGCCGCGGGGCCGCGTACCTGAGCGCACTGCGCCTGCGTCTCTTTTCTCCCAGTCTGCCTCGTCCTGCCCCAGCTTCCCAGCTTCTCTTTGGGAAGGTGTAAGATGAAGCCAGGCAGAGTTCAGAGTGTTTTGGGGGATCAGAAGGGAGATAAAAGATAGAAGAGGAATAGAGGGAAACCCATTGGCCGGATGAACCTCTTTGGGTAGGGACGGAAGGAGCATAGATATTTGCCAGAGATATTTCTGCACCCTTTTTTGGGGGGACGGTGGGGGAGCACAGAACCTTCTTAGTTGTATGTAGTGTTACTGGACTTTAGTGGTTTTATATCCCAATTATAACGTCTTCGATAATCAGCCCGCATCTCTTCACTTTTGTGGTTTTGCATCTGCCTGCACCTTGCCAGCAGTAGATATGTTGAAAGGGATCCTAAGGGTGTCCACTGCAAGGGATCCTAAGGGCCCCATTCTGTGCTGGAATCTGGCACCCTGGCACGGAGTTGGCTGGCCCTGGTCATTTTCACCTCCCACCGTGGGAATCGTAACTCTATAGTAGAAAAGTCGTTGAATGAATTCCCAGAGTATCTGTTAGTTAACAGTTCAGCTTTTGAGAGGCCAATGGATTATAAATTGAAATAAAGGTAATACATTTCTTCCTGTAGAGCAGTCTTTCTCCAAGTGGGGTCTGTTAATCTCCAGGTCCTAGAGATACTGGAAAGGAATGGGAGTGGGGGTGGGGAAGGGGCTAGAACGAAGATCAAATTAATCTGGGGGAAAGAAACACAATACAGGGGCCGGCAAAAGTAGGTTTAGAGTCATGAGCATGCAAAACCTAGTTTACTCGTGTATTATTTATTGTATTATTTTCCATATGGACACCCATAAACCTACTTTTGCCCACCCCTGTATAGTTGCTCTCCTTGAAATTGATGACACATTTACAGGCCTGAAAACTGTTTTACTTTGTATCATCCCACACTTCTGAAATGTACTTGACCTGAAGGGTGGCAGACTATGCCGCCTCAAAACATGCCCCTTTGGCATAAGACCTTCCTCTTTCTTCTTGAAAGCAAATGAAACTCCAGTGTGAAAGGTGTCCCCCAGAATACCAGAAGGAAAGAAACATTCTGATCACCAGAGATGGGCGTCAAGGATGAGGAAAATAGAGAGAAACTTTGTTAAATTGACCCTTATCTTCCTAGTCACTACACAATTAACTACCGTAGCTCAAGCCCCTTTGTCTTGTTGCATTGTCACTATTCACTACTCTTCGTCCAACTTAGTGTATAAATGTGCAGCTCTAACTGCTTCTTTGGGTCTTCAATTTCCCATTGGGGCTCCCCTGTGCATGTAAAATCTGCATGCTTCCCTCCTATTAACCTATGTCAATTTAACCCTCATGTCTGGTCAGAAACCCTAAGAGGGTTAAGTTTTACCTCCCCTAGAGACCATTCACCTCTCTTCTTGAGAAATGCCTGTTATCATCCCGGGGGTATTAGTGTTTCAACCAATGCACTCTGATAAACACTGCTTTAAAGTCCAAGCACATTGACCATGAATAGTTTTTCACTCTATTACAAATGCTTGCAAAGTTCTAAATGGTTTACACAAAACTTTCACATGAGTCATCTCAGTTCATCTTCACAATTACGGTGTAAGTGCAATTGTCCTCGTTTCACAGTTGAAGGTACTGAGGATCGAACAAAGAATGGCTGCCCAAAATAGAGTCAAGGTTGACTCTGGACTTCAGACTCGAAGGCCTTTTAGAGGTATATGATGTGCTGTATTTAAGGGTCAAATGGGAGAGAGAAAGAGAGGGGGGGAGAGAGAGAGAGAGAGAAAGAAAGAAAGAAAGAAAGAAAGAAAGAAAGAAAGAAAGAAAGAAAGAAAGAAAGAAAGAAAGAAAGAAAGAAAGAAAGAAAGAAAGAAAGAAAGAAAGAAAGAAAGAAAGAAAGAAAGAAAGAAAAGAAAGAAAGAAAGAAAGAAAGAAAGAAAGAAAGAAAGAAAGAAAAGAAAGAAAGGCGGGCCAAGGACCTTTCCCTAGCTTTTACTCCCTGCAACGTCTGATGTCACAGTTCAGAGCACAAAACTGTCACCCAGGTGTGCTCAGTGAATGAGAGATGAACGAATGCGCAAGTGCTCCACAGTGCCTGTTGAACGGGACTGAGCCCTCGGTGCCCGAACTGAACAGCCTCAACAACCTCTTCACGGATGCACAAGTTCCCGGAGCAAGAGCTCCCCAAGTTGTACTTAGTTTTCTTCCGTCTTCCATCTAAAAAGGATTCCTTACAATAATCCACTCTGTTGACAGAAACAGTTCTTTGAAAACAATGAAACCACTTCCTTTATTTTCCTTGAAATGGGCCTCCTTCCTGCCCCACTTTCAGAGGCGAGGCTGCGTTGATACAAATGGTGGGTATTGTACGCACGCCTTTCCTTGTGCCCCTGTGGTTAACCTCTTCCCGCAAAAGGACGGTTGTGCAACATTCTGAGCGAGGTTTCGTTTTCTGTCTGCTTGCTTTTTAATATGAGCGTTAGTGTTTTTGATGTTAACGTCTTGTGTCACTGGAGGCAGAGCTGAAGCACAGAACAGATTTGGGTTGATGTGCACCAGAGGGCTGCGAAGATCTCGCTGTGCGAGGGGATTCTCTCAGTGGACAGAGACAAATCACTTAATCCCTGCCCTGATCCCTATTCATTCTGCCTCCGCTCAGGGCAGCTTACCAGTGCTTTGTGACTCAGCCCGGCCCTGCCTCTCTCCAGGCTCGCCTCCCGCGGCACCCCGCCACACGTCGTCGACCTTCCGAATCAACTGTGGTTCCCTCAGCTGCCAAATTTGCGCTACTGCTCCCCTTAACTCTATTTTGCGGGTCCCAACAGGCACATCCATGTTCATGCAGCTGAAGTACCGCCTCTTCTGGAAGATGGAGCTCCAAGCACACGGCCCAGAGTGAGTGGGGTGCCCTTCCTCGATGTTCCCGGCGCAATCCATCCACATCTCTGTCGTGGCACCGATACCATAGCTGTGGTCGTTCACTTCTTTTTTTTTTTTTAACATGTTTACTACTAAATTTTAATTTCAAGATCTAATTTTTTTAAAGATTTTATTTATTTATTTTTAGAGAGGGAAGGGAGGGAGAAAGAGAGAGAGAAACATCAATGTGCGGTTGCTGGGGGTCATGGCCTGCAACCCAGGCATGTGCCCTGACTGGGAATCGAACCTGCGATGCTTTGGTTTGCAGCCCGCGCTCAATCCACTGAGCTACGCCAGCCAGGGTGGTCGTTCACTTCTTTTCCCTTTTCCCACGGAACTCAGTCCAGCTGAGTTCCCAGTAGACAAGAATTGGGACTTCCATCTGTTTCCTGAACATATGACATAGCACCTGACACATAGAACAGTGAAATATTTGTTGGATGAAGGAAAAACAAATCTTTAAAGAATATGAATTCCTAGAGTGTTTGTAAAATAATCTCACAAATACAAACGGTCCTATCAGTACAGTGCAGGGGCAGAGAGGACAGGCAGATTCCTGTTTCCCCCCCAAGTTATTCCCTTTCCACGATCGGCCTTAGAAAAACATCAGGAAAAGTTTATGCATAGGTATTTATTTATTCATTTACTTGTTCAAGAAACATTTCTGAGTGTCTATGGTATGCCAGGCACAGTCCTCAGCACTTGCTTGGGAGAGAAAGCGACGTTTCAGCAGAGTCATGAATGCTCACCAAACCTTGATTCCTCGCTCTGGGCACAAAACTAAAGTCCTTTGTCCATTTCTCTTACAGCTAGGTAAGGCCACGTGACCAGTTCTCACCAATGGAATTTGAGCAGAAGTAGTATTTCACTTCTGACCTAAGCAACGAAGAACTGATGAGCCTTCTCCACAGTCTCTCCCTCTTCCCCTTCCTGGACCACCCGGGACCAGTGCTAAACCACTGCCAACACGGATAATGAGACCAGATGGCAGAAGTTCCGGTCACCGTTCGACACACGAAACAGAGCTCCCACCACCATTCACTACGTGTATCAGATTGTGATGCGAATGAAAACTGAACTTTATTGTGTGCACTAATCATATTTGGGGATTTCTTTCCCATCAGCTAGCTTTACTTATCCTGATTAGCACTCTCAAAAATTATGACATATAGAGTACATAAAACACTAGATAAATGCTGTCTCCTGCTTTGCATGGGAAACATGGAACGTGAGAACTTCTCAAAGAAGGTATTAAGGTCATAAAGACTTGAAGCTTGTCCCAAATGGATAAAGAAAAACCTTTGTGGGCACACAGCTCCTTGTTCTTGCTCTCAGATGGCCACCCGATCGGAGTGCTGACATCTTGACTTGAACACAGGCACAGAGTCACCCCATCATCTTCATCACCTTTATCAGCCACTGTCAGCCTCCTTGCTGCACTTTGAAGAATTTCCCTGGGTGACCTTCAGGAGCTCTAGTGTCATTCAGGGTCAAGTGTATATCAGGGAGTGACAGAGGACAGGCGTGAGAAGAGGGGTCCTGTAGGCTCTTGACCATCTTACTAAGGAGCTTCTATATTGACCTACGGGACACATGAGTTGAATAGAGTAGGGACTGTTTGTGGTGGGATGACTTTTTTCTTTATTTTTTCCCTTCTCCTGCCATATTCTTTTCTGGGTGACGGGTACCCACTAAGGCTAAGGTAACAATGGAGAAAATGGCTGGTCATAGGTGCTTCCCCAAGAGATCTAATCATGACAAGGGCCTCTTTCCTCCATGCCCTCACCCATGGCCCCTCCCTCCTCCAAACCCCATTCACCAATGAAACTGCACAGCACCAAAAGACCGATAGTTTCGTGGAGGCCCATTGGCTCTCCACTGTCAATTGACCATAGAATGGAAAT